ATGTCCTTAGCTCAAGCCCCAGTCAAACGACTCAACTGTCCGATAACTGCCAGTAGCTATTGTTATCACCAATCCAAAGGGTACTGTCTACACCTGCCACTCACTCTCAGAGCACGCTCACACCCAGAGCACGCTCACACCCAGAGCACACTCACACCCAGAGTACGCTCACACCCAGAGTACACACAACCCCCACAGCATGCTCACACCCAGCCAGAGTACACACAACCCCCAGGGCATGCTCACACCCAGAGCAAGTTCACACCTAGAGCACGCTCACACCCAGAGCACGCTCACACCCAGAGCACGCTCACACCCAGAGTACACACAACCCCCACAGCATGCTCACACCCAGAGCAAGCTCACACCGAGAGCACGCATGTTCACACCAGGAACATGCTTTTCCACAGAATACCATCACACACAGAACATGCTCACACCCAGAGCACACTCACACCCAGAACACATTCACGCCCAGAGCACGCCCATCCCCCACTGCTTATGAACACACAGCAAACACATCTCCCCAGTCAGGCAGTCGGGAAGGGAGAGTAAGGGCAGAGCTCAGCATTTCCCTGAGCTGACACAGACGCAGACTGGCTAAGGATTCAGTCTGGGGTAGGGAAAGGGGGATCCATGAGAACTAAGTTTGTAATTCTGCAGCACAAGTATGCAATTTCTTATCAACTGGATAAATTTATATGGACAAATCACTTAAAAGAAAACAAAAGTAGCTGCTTAGAAAGAAAGTGGTTAATATGAATGTACGATTTAGCTTCACTAATAAATTAAATTACAAATTAAAGTGGCCAGTTTTCCTATCCAAATTCAAAGGCTCTTAAACACGCCACAAGACCCTCTCTGGGCTCTCTCTTCAGAGGCGGGGGATTCAGCAGAGAGCCCTTACAGACCTCACTCCGTGGGAAAGCAGCGGCTGTTTGAATTGAGGGCTCACTGTCTAGCATGCTAAGGCCGGCAGGAAATGAACCCACTGAGATGGAGGTTGTCATTTCCTGCAGAATAACCAGGACATAGATATTCTCACTTCCCCTACAATGGCCCTTTGAGAGATGCAGGGTCACCCTGGGACAGTACTGTACATTAAAAATTAAAAAAGTGAAAAACAAAAACCAAAAGCCTTTTCTGTGGTTCAGTCTGTAAGAGGTAGCGGCCTATCTAAAGCCCATGTGTTCTGTGTCTTTGCAATGTGGGATGGACATGCACTCCACAGTGTGCGTTTTAGGATCCCCGTTCTGTGAGAAGGGGTCCTATTCAGATGGGTCCTCGGCATGCACAGTGCCCCCACAGGATGGACAGTCCAGCGTCCCCCAAAGGTCAGCATCAGCTGCCATGGATCAGCTTTTCCTCGTAGAGATTCCTGTTCCTGTTGTAGGAACAACTTTAAGAGCATAGCCTGCACCTCTCCTTTGGTTTCCTCAGAGATAGAAAGGATGACACATTCTTCTTGGATAACATTCTTAAGTCTTTGCCCACAGAAGAAATGTTTCTAGAACACCAGCTCCAGGTCAATAAATCCTATTCAGCTCCAACAGTCGGTGGGAAGCCAGCCTCGGCTGTGCCCTGTGGGGCGTGTTACTGTCTCCCTCCAAGCTTCCTCTGGCCTTTGGGAACCCGGGCTGTTTCATTCTTTCAAATATTCTTCTGAGAAGCACTCATATGTAAAGTGTTCCTTCCTTGCACCAGGAATAAAACATGCCCATCACGAGGGTCAAGACTAAGATAAAGATGCCCAAACACAATTTATTTTTCATTGCTTTTCCTTGCCATTTCCTGGTGCCCATAACGTACAGCCCAAGCCCCCTTCTTGTTGCTGTACCATGTCTTCATAATATATCACTCTTCATTAAAATGGGACATTAACCCCCAGACCCATCCCCTTGTCTTAGTTGTCTTTCTATTACTGGGATCAAGCACCACGACCAAAAGCCACTTGAGGAGGGAAGCGTTTATTTCATTTTAGTTTCTAGTTCATCACTGAGAGACATCGGAGCAAGAACTCAAGGCTTCCTGGAGGCAGAAACTGGAGAAGGGTCACTGGGAAACACTGCCTACCGGCTTGCTCAGCCATGGTTCACTCAACCTGCTTTCTGGTGCCAGCTCAGATTGTCTGCCCGGGTGGCACGACCCACCGTGGGTTGAACCCTCCCACTTTAATCACCGATAAAGAAAATGACTCACAAAATTGCCTACAGGTCAATCTGATGGAGGCTTTTCCTCAACCTCGATTCCTCTTCCCAGATGACCCCGGCTTGTGTCAAGTTAACAACAACAACAACAAAAACCTAACCAATGCACCACTTCTTTGAGGATGTATTTCATACTCACCTGGGGACACCATAAATCTTATAAGCACATACATGAATACATACACAGGGAAAGACGTACATATATGCACACAGAAGAATGCCAACATCTAATAAAATACATATGTCGTTGCCCTATTAACCTGCCCTGCTGGAACATCAGACCCAGGTTCAGTTTCCAACACCCATCTAGGTGAAGGATGTCGCAGAAAATATCTCATTAAAAACAACAAGAATTTTCTGTTCATTGCAACATGATGAAAAATTAATTATAATAATAACCCATTTTTTCTATGCTTTTGGAGAAAGGAGTCCAAACACAAATGCAAAAGGCCATTCTTGAGCAGAATGTAGCCCTCCTGTTTGGAACCTGTACTCCCCACTCCACCATGGGTAATTTTTCAAAGACAGCACAGGTGAAAGCAGCCATAGAGATCATTGAGGACCAAGTCGGGCCAGCCTCACCCAGAAGAGTCATGAATGCGGCCCAATACATTTACAGCCACATGTCACACTGCAGAGGCAAAACATTACCAAAAGAAAAGAGAAAGGGAGGGAGGGAAGGAGGGAGGGAGGAAAGGAAGGAAGGAAGGAAGGAAGGAAGGATTCTGTTCTCAAAGGAGGCAAAGACTGGATGGTGCAGCTTACAGCATCATCCCCTGGGAACGGTTGTAAAGCGTGAGGACAGTTTCAGATCAGGGTCGGGATGCAGGTTCACTCTGCCCTTAACTCCGAGTTTAAGAAACTCATGACCCTCGGCTTCTTTTCCTAGAAGCGGAGCTGCAAACCAGAACACTGACCCTTCAGGACCTATGCAAGAATAAAGCCAAAGCCTGCGAGAAAGACTGGGGGTTCTGAACACCCCAACTAATATGCCACGACTGGACATCAGGAAAGAGTGACACTACACACCTGCACCACAAAGTCCTTCTCATCCCTACCCTGCCATCTCCTCGGAAACATGACGAAGTGTGTGATCACTCTGATCTTAGGTGGAGGAAATCAGTATTCGGGGAAGTGTAAGCGACTTGTCCAAGGCTACGCGGGTGAAGAGGCACAGCCAGAACCAGATGAATGTCTTTGCTCTTTGCTCCTCTTCACTCTGGCTAGGTTATGAAGGCAAACAAGCAGAGGCTTCAGGTCCAACCTCCGTGTAAGTGATGAGTACAAAATTAGATCAGATCTGTGTGTGACCTTAGATGAGCACTAAAGATGCTTTGAGGGGTCTGGGGGATATAGCGCAGTCACAAGACATGTGCTTAACATGTGTGAGGCTCGGGGTTCAATCACACGCCAATCACACATACAGACAAAAGAAGAGAGAGGACACAAGGCAGGAGAGAACTCCATAGGGGAAAGGGTGACCAACAGTGTGTGTCGTGATCCTCCATCTCCTTTCAGCAAGTGACAAAAACAGAGGTGACACTGTGACATAGTCCCAGTCCCTGTGTTGAGCTCACAAGCTTCGAGTTCCATACTTGAAGTGGTATCAATGGATTACTTCCCCCTGACTTTGCCACCTTTGGTCATGTCCTGGAAAGTGCTCCAAAACAAACACAGCAAACTCTGGAAAGTCATGGGAAGAGTCTGATTTCCGTGATGGGAAGGTATGCTGAGAGGTGACTGGGGTAACTAGAACAGCAGTCCAAGATGTCACATCAAGTTCTGTTGGGGAACAATACAACACACATGTGCACGCACATACGTGGGTATGTGCGCGTGCACACACACACACACACACAACTGTTCTCTGACGTTCTCCTTGGTCACACAGCACTTTCACCGGGCAGGAAGTCAAGCACTTTTGTGTCCTCCTCTCAGGGATGGGGAACTTTCTCGCTGCTCACATTTTGATCCAGGAATCAGGCTGGGCAGCTGAGAACAGCAGGACAGAAAACTCAGAATGAGGTGGGGGAGGGGGGACTTTCCCAGTGGATTAGAAACAGTCTTGCCACGGAAGGTCCTCGCCAAATAGGTCTACCCAAAGTCCTCAACCCCGTGGCTGAGGCAGGTACTCAAAACACTTAATGAACCACAACTTGGTGAAAGAATACAGCAAAACGGCGGTAAACTATGAGTATGTGTTCACACGTGAGCCTAAGTATGAGTTCATAGGTGAGCCTAACGAGGTTCAAACCGCCACATATTTCCATCCGATGAACTTTTCCAACTGTAGTCACTGCCACCTGGAGTTAACTCCCCAGAAAACTCATCCCTTCCTACAGGGCTACCTGTGGACCCAGAAGTTTTTGTGTTCCCAGCATCAAAGGCTGAGAGCTCTCCACACCCTCTCCTCTACCCAAACGCTGTGCCCCTCACCCATGCTGGGCCACTCCTTCTCAACCCGTGGCCCCCCACAGGCCGCGGGCTGCCCTGACCGCAAGGCTTGGAGCACCCTGCTCCTCCTGCCATCCCCATCATTCGGCACGCCGCCGCGCGCGCTCCCTGCCCAGTTTCTTCCAGGCAGGCGCCAGCCAGCAGCAGTGTAGGCAAGGAGGCTGTGCCTGATGCACGTTGCATAGTCTCCCACCCCGATGCCTTGGCCAAAGGAACAAAAAGGAAGCCGACGCCAGGAAGAGACGAGCGGGCTAAGGATGCGGCGGGACCGCGGCGGGCTCCACGCCTCTGCGCACCAGGCAGGCGGAGCTCGCAGGCGGCCCGCAGCCGAGCGGTTACCTTGAGGATGCAGGCCATGGCGCTACGGATCGGCCCTGTGGCTTGCTGCACCCCGGACCCGCAGCGGGACCACTCCAGTCCACATTCCCGCAGAGCGAGCCGGGCCCGCGGGAGCTGCGCGCCCAGGCCCCACCCCCGAGCCCCGCCACTGGCTGGCGCCGCACGAGGCCCCGCCCTGAGTCACGTGCCCGCCGTGCGGCCCGCAACTGCCTGCTACTCTGCTGCTGCTGTGCTACTACTTGGCTTTTTTTCTTTTTTAAAAAAAAAAAAAAAAAAAAAACTCCTTCTGCAGATCAAGCTCTGCAAAGCCCCGCCTGAAGCAGCCCCGGATCTTCGCACCCCACCCCGAGGACAGAAGGTGGCCCTTCCAGCTGCTCTTGCCCATCAGAGAATCCGCAGATGTGCCACTTTCCAAAAAGTTAACTGTGTTTGGCCCCGTCGCGCTACAGGCGTGGGGCCCATCAAAGGATTCTTCGAAAGCAGCTGGAAGTGCCCCGGGCTAGCCCTTGGCACTGCAGAATACCGTGGAGGGCTTCTCTTTCCATGACTGATTGATTGGCTGCCCATCAGAAAACACGAACAGCTAGAGAAACTGAAAGACTAAGAAGTCATACTCCTCACACGACGTGGTATATACACATGTGTAGCATACACGCACATAAACATATGCAGTTGTGAATGTGGTAGCCTGTTGCAAGGGAGTTAGTAAAACGTCTATATACATAACGATACAGTGCACACTGATCACACACTTACATACAGTGTGTGAGGGAGTCACAGGTCTTTGCCACTCACTGCCATGGTCTTAGAATTTAGAAGAACTCGGTTGGAATTTCAACAACCAAGTTATGTATTAGCTTTCCTCTTAAGTTTCGAAATCTAAGAAGGTCCCTTTCAACCACTCAACCTGAACCTTTGTTAAAAACAAAGGGCACTGTGGTAGATTTACCCAAGAGGTCCCTAGTCCTCTCTAGGTCTTAAATTTGTATGCAACAGACACAAGGAAAGGCTGCCTCCCCAAACCAGCCCAGCTAAGGGAGCACACATTTCTACAAGGAGAGGACATGCCCAAAGGGCACAGATTTCTGCCTCCCAGTAGTGAAAGAAATCTTTAAATTACCTCCCAAAACATCTGCCCTGAAGAAACCTCTCTTGGCAGATGACCCTAGTTAGCTGGTTCCCAGAAAGTCAGGAAAAGCACATGGGTTGCTGGTGACTGAGGGTCATGAGTTGGCTCGCACACCATCAGACAGGAACCAAGTGTTCACGGGAGCTGGTGTGCTTTCGAAGAGGACATTCAACACTCTGAGAGACTTAATTAGTTTTCTATAGGAAAACAAGATGAGCAAGTCAGAAAGTAGCACTCCTCCATGGCCTCGCATCAACTCCTGCCCCCGGTTCCTGCCCTTTCCCCAGTTGCTTTTGGTCATGGCGTTTCATCACAGCTATAGCCAGGCCAGGAAGACTCTGCAGACTCGTTTGCTCTGGAACAGGACACTCGTCACCAGGTAGATGAGGAGGTCAGAGGACCGCTTGTGTGAACAGTGCTGCTTCTACCAAGTGAGCCCCGAAGATTGAACTTAGGTTTGCCCCCGAAACCGTCTCCCAGATCCCACACTCATTTGTTCATTCATTCATTCATTCATGTCAGGTTTTTTTTAAATCTGATTAGCTAAAGGGAAAATCCTTAAGTTACTACAGGAACTTTCAGCTTTAAGAGATTGGTTTTGTGGTGTCTGATATCATGGCAAAATCATAAGTTAGAGTAAAGAGGGAAAGATGAGAACTACATGGCAACACAACACAGCTGCTAACCAAGAGGAAAGATGAACACACATACAAATCATTACATAGATTGGGCAGGCTCTATTTGGCAGCATATTTAATTGTTTTATATTATATTTACATTACATGGGTATATACATGTAATTACATGGGTATATACATATAGGTATATAATGCAATTAATTTTTAGAAAGAAGCCGTGAGTTTGAAGGACAGCAGGGAAAGGAGTATAGGAGGGTCTGGAGTGAGGAATGAGAAGGGAAACATTCTGTAATTATAATCTCAAAAATAAAAAATACCCCCCTCCAAAAAAAGGGCAAAGGTGGTCTGAGCACCCCACTCCCCAGAAAATCTTCAGGACATCTGGGAAGGGTCAGCAGACTGGTGACCCTTGCTTGGAGACCTCGTTCAAACCTACTCCCTTCAGTCTTTATATGACAGTATACGGAGCTTTAGCAGAGTTAAGTGAACTAACGGACGTGAGCTCATTCACTTCAATTCCTGGAACAATGACCGCTTTTAAATGATAACAAGTTATTTAAAGGAGAAGACTTTCACTGCAGTTATAAAGACCGCAGATGAAGCAGAGGAACGGCTTTTGTCATCCTTCCTGTCTCAGAAAGACGCTGCTGGTGGAGCAGTGAGCACGCGTGACGTCTCAGAAGGATTCTGGTCATGGAGCAGTGAGCATGCGTGACGTCTCGGAAGGACGCTGCTCGTGGAGCAGTGAGCACGTATGATTGGCCAAGACACGGTGACTCAGCTAGGATTTCCTACTGCTATGCAGAGACGCCATGACCACTGCATCTTTTTTAATTTTATTTTATTTAATTAACCTTTTTTCATAAATTTTACACACTGACCACATCTTCCCCTCCCTCCTCTCCTCCCACTTACTATAATCTAAAAGCAAGAAATGTTAGGATAAACCTAAACCAGAATTTTATAAAATAGGATTAGCAACTGCTGATTTGGGAGGAGCTACCCTAGAAAATCTTTTGGTCAGAAAAAAATAAAAAGTTCTGAATCTACCAGGGATTGGAGGTAGCGCCAGATTTGTAGGAGGTGGGTAGGTAGGAGAATGTAGCCAGGATATTTTTGTTTTAAACTGGGCCAAACGTCAAGAATAGCTTGGGCTAGTCTATAGGTATACTCTGATCTTCCAATTATTTAAGTTATGTAACTTAAATCCAAGACCACCTGTCTCCAAAGTTAATAATAAACCAAAACCCCATTCAGTCAGATGTCCCACCTGGTGTGATCCTGTGACATCCATGGGTTGAACTCAGAAGTCAGCCATATTACCCACCACAGCCAGTAGGCCAGTGTGAAGACTTTGGCGTTCTTTGGGTTTAGAATATCATCTTGGGTTTGCTCATAAGAAAACCTTGGATTCATGTCTTCACCTCCTAAGACACTGGGAAGTTAATCTTCAGTGTCAGCTTGGCTGGATTTGGAATCGTGGTGACAACACCCTTCTGGGTGTGTCTAGAGGGGAGCTGGGAGGGAAGAGCCACCATGAATTTAGACAGCATGATCCTGTAGGATAAGGCTCTGGAAGAAAGGAAACGAAAAGGCAAGCTTGGATATTTAACAAGCATCTCTGCTTCTTGATGATGGACACAACATGACCAGCTGCTTCGTGCTATTGCTGCCTTGGTTTCCCCCACCACCCTCACGCTATGAGCCAAACTGAACCCTTTCTTCCCTAAGTTGCACCCCCCCACGAAGATATTTTGTCACAGTAACTGAGCAACTACAACAGATCCACAAGAGAGCGAGACCCACATGAGGGGGCAAGGCCTTGGCTGAGCATGTAGGCAAATAGATTCTAACACCTGAGTGTGCACATGAGATACCTCACCTTGCGTTTCAACCCCGACTGTGGGAAATGCTCAAACAATAGCACTTCATGTCCTTCCTAAGGGAGCCCCCACCACAAACTTTAGTTGACTGTGATCAACACCACGACCAAAACCAATAGAGGGAAGAGTTTGTTTGGCTTCCATGTCCCCATCACAGCTTGTCCTTGAGAGAAGTCAGCTGAGGAACTCCAGGCAGGGGACCTGGATATGAGGGACAGAGGAATGCTGCCCCATGCCTTGCTCCTCATGGCTTGCTTAGCTTGCCTTCTTATGCAACCCAGGACCACAGGCCCAGAGGTGGCACCACCCACACAGGGCTAGGTCCTCCCATATCCATCACTGATCAAGAAAATGCCCTATACACTTGGCTACAGGTCGATCTGCAGTGGAGACAATTCCTCCATTAGCACCCCCTCTGGCCAGATTATTCCAGCTTGTGTCACGTTGACCAAAAACTAACCAGCACATCCCACAGCCAGGCCTTCCCACCCGCAGCCATACAAGCTGCCTCCCACCAGAGAGTCTCATTACTGTATCTGACATCTCCACAGGCCTACGATACCTGCTTCCCTTTATTATGAGAGCCTGAGAGTGGCTACTGTCAGGACACTAGACACAGGGCCTGGACAGTCTTCACAGCTTCCAGTGGCCCATCTTCCCGCCCAACCTGGCCTGTCACCAGTGAGATGCCAGCATGCCTTAGCACTCATGAGACATCAGAAGTCACGAGCTAAATTTTATTTAAATTCATTTTTGTTTCATTCCAAACAGCTCCGTTACCAAGTCATCCTCAGAGTTATGAAATACAGTTCCCTGATAGAATTAAAATGCAGACTCTCATAACTTTGCCAATTTCACCCTCCACACATATTAATTTAATATGTTTATATTCAACAGAGTCATTTATTAAGGTTTTAATTGGGTTTCAGACTTTCCCATTTGAAGATGCGAAATGGATTCCAGATACAATAAGACTTTTCCTTGTCATGCACTACATAAATCACACTCCCATCAGGGCTGACTGGAAGATCCATTAGGAAGTGTGACGGGAAGACCATTCTCTTGCACTCAGTCAGCTTAGGACATGACGTTTTTCCCCTAGAAACCATTCCACCCTTACCTTTTGAAATCCTGAAGCAGGTCCTTCCTACATGTCTATTCCCAGACATGTGTCCATCTGTGGACCTGTGCCCAAGGACATGTGGCCCGGTCTTCCAGCCACCTGATGATGGTAAAACTGCTGGTGTTTGTTTTTATTTCAGGTGTCGGAGGTGTTGTGTGTGTAGTGTCCACAGAGGCCAGAAGAGGGCCTCAGAGGTCCGAAACCTGGAATTACAGGCAGTGGTGAGCCACCATGTCGATGCTGAGAACTGGACCCCAGCCGTCTGTTTTAGCAGCAAGTGCTCTTCACTTCGGAACCACTTCTCCGGCCCATACTCCACCCA